CTGCCGACAGCATTCGTCGGACATCACTGAGAAAGTCCTCCAAGGAGGGAGCCATCCTTGTATTTGATGAGATGCAAAAGAGAATTTTTGCTTATTAAAGCTGTTGTGAACAGCCGATGGCGGGCACTTTCATGCTTCAAGTGTCTTTTCCTATGATGCAGTCTGGAGGAACTGGCTTACAGTGTACATGAGCACTCACCTCCATCCATCACATAACACAGTCCACATGCAGCGCTAGAGATTTACATGGCCTGCAATATGGCCATGACTGATAAGGAACATCTCCTGCATGAAATGATTACCCGAAGACAACTGCCAATCAAACCAGGGTCACTTTACCCAGAGGGACAGCACAGAATTTATGGAAGGTTGGTGATGCAGGCTGAAGCTGCCCCCGCCAAAACTCACTGAAAAATCAATAAAAAAATATTGTTCACATTTCAGATTTGCCCATAATGGAATTCATTTAAACATCATTACTGGCCCATGCTGACAGCTTCAAAATTGAATTTTTCTTGTGCTTGATGGAGTGAATAAATCTGCCCCTGCTAGGTAGTTGTTGCTTTCCAAAGATTATAACTCACATTCTCACAGCAATGTAGTGTCAAAAACAGTAGTCGTTTTAGGCAGAGAGTATTGAAGAAGTATGAGACATATAATCTGTGGAGAGATCTTGCACTGGACTGATAAGATTTGTAAAGCCATCTTTATTCAGAAAGGATTTCTTACTGACCACCAGAGGCTGTCTGAATCTTACTCCAAGCTTTGCAAATGTCTGTGACACCGGGTCCATGTACTACAGGATACAGAGATTCCTGGGGTAGGTGGAAAGTTCCCTAGCAAGCTTGTGCGGGGCAAAGGGCAGCCAAGCTCCAGGCTTTCTCACTGACTCACTGGAAACATTCTGTTCCAATGTGGGGTGGTGATGTCTTGCTTTAGCAGATTTAGTAAAAATAATTAATGTAATAATCCACCTCATCCTTGTCTAGGAAGGTTCTCAGCCTACTTGGAAATTAAGGAACTATTTACAATTGGTTCTATTTCCTTTAGAATAAAATTCACTTACTGGATGTTCCTAGCAGGGCTCCAATACTTAAGAGTTGAAGAGTATTAATTACCATTTGTAATTTGCAGTGTTACCACAGCTGAACACGCTGTCCACAGGAGCGTGAGGGAGGGCTAGACAGAGCACATTAAGATGCTGAAATCCAACCTGTCTCAGAGAAGCCGGGATGAATGACCTTTCTGCTCAAATTCTTTCAGGGATTGATCTGTACAGAGAAAACTGCAAAACACCGGCACCAGCTAAATCTATTGTTGAGCCAAATTGTTTGGTTGGTTGCTCATTCTCAAGGTTTCAGCCTCTTGCTTGCCCTTTTAGCTTAATCAAAATAATCTCTTGCTTTGTACCCAGCAAACAGTGTGCACAATGTGAGAGATTAAAAAATAAATGCTCAAGTTCAACTCTGAGCCACCACCCAGACCTGTTAGGATGGGAGATTCCCAGGGACTTGGTTTACCCTTCCCTGAAATGGGTTTGATTCCTGACGTATCCAATCCACTGTTTTATGACAGACATAAAATGAACTAGTAGATACAAAGGAAGGATGTGGGCTATAGGGTGCTCCCACTAAAATCATCTCAGTCACATCATCTTATGGCACAATTTACCAGCACACGTGTCCCCTAACCTGAGGTCTGCTATAGCTGATTCCTATGCCAGATTAGCAAGGCATGTCTGTGTTTCTTTTTTAAAGACTTGGGTCTGAGTGACCTCAGATGATGTACCAAGGAGAAAAGATTCAGTACTAGGTTTAAAACAATGAGAACGATCACCCAAATATTTTGTTACATGATATTGTCACCAATCATCATGAATCTACATAGAATTCATGGGGAAACTTGTGAACATATGTGCACACATGTCCTGCAATGAGGTGTGGGGGAGGGAGAAATTGGAGGGGACAAATTGGGAGAAAAATGAGACAGCTCAACACATTAAGAAAAAGGAAAGTTTTCACTGTTGTCAGAGTACATAGATCAGGAAAGCAGAAAGAAAAGAAAACACAACACAATAATGTAAGGCACAACACAGATAGAGTCTATTGAACACACTCCCATCTTCCAGACAAGGCTCAGTATTCACTGGCACTGGCACGGAGAGGCAGAAACTTTTACCCTGTGGGCCCCACACAAGCGCTGTCTGAACTCTGATGAACAGAGTCTATGCAGTCTGAGTAATTGCAGACTTTTGACTCCACCATGCCAACATCAGTAAAACAAAATTAGGCAGTAAAGGAAGTCTGCCATACTAGTATCCAAGACTCTCCCAAGAACTTACTAGTGAAAGCTTGAGTGTATCATGTGGTCTTTTGGTTTAAGTTTCTCATCTGAGAAATGAGAAAAGACTTTATTCATCTTGAATAAAGCTTTCGGTGTGTGTGTTTGTGTGTGTGCATGTGTGCGTGCGTGTGTGCGTGCGTGCGTGTGTGTGTGTGTGTGTGTGTGTGTGTGTGTGTGTGTGTGTGTGTTGGGGGTGGCATGGGGGATTAATTACCAAGAACATAGTAGCTTTGCAATAAATACAGGCTGCTTTCCCTCTGAAAAGGCCCAGAGCTCTAAAGGGACCCAGTGCAGCATCCCTTGCCCTTGTGGAAGGTGGCTTTACAGTGAGGCTTTGACCCAAATTCTGAGCGGGTGGTGGGTAGACCTGCTGGTCAAGGCCACATCTCCATATCAGACATCCACCACACTGGCTTTGGCTTAGCAGCTCCTAATGAGCCCATCCTGTGAAAAATTAATCCATGGTGGTGGTGTGCTGCCTAGGTCTTTGCTTGCTTTCTCTTGTTCTGCTCAGCAAGACCCCAGGCATTAACTACATGGATATACTCTGCATTTTGATAAGGAAAAAAAAGAATACACACAAAACTAACCACCCGGGAAACTCATCCCTTCAAGGAAGTCTCAGACTTCACTCCAGCAAAGCCTTGGTGTGTGGGACCCCACAGTGCTCATGAATTTCAGAGGCTTGTAAGAAATTATCTGTTTTGCTGGACTCACACTGGGATCAATCATCCCCTCAGTGGTTGGTGCCAATTAAGAGCTAGTGTGATGCAAAAGGGATATTTTAAACGTTTGACACCAGGCACTTCTCTATCCTGTCTCCCTCCCTTTACTCTAACTCTCCTATCAGGCCCTACCTTGGTCACTTTCTTCTTTAAAGGGGCCTTTAATCTGGAAGTCCAAGGCTGTAACGAAACCAGTGTCCTCTGTTCTTTTTCTCCAGAGGAATACTGTTTACCAAATGATTTCTCATCATCTCACATGCCACCGAAGTGGAGCTCATCGCTGCCTCCTCCTCCTGCCTCACCCTGTCGTTCCAGCAGCCCCAATCTATTGTAACAAGGCTGCCAAGGCACTTCCTGAGGATCACGTTGAACCATGTCATTCCTCTGCTGAGAATAAACCTGCGTCTCTCCTCACTGCCTGCAGCTTAAAGTCCTACAAGCACGGCTCTCCACCAGCCTCTCAGCCTTGTCTCATCACACGCGCCTATCCCTCTCAGCCCTCCATCCTCTGCATAAACACATGAAGCTACTCTTGTCCTCCCATACTTTCTGTCATCATCACTCCAGTCACCTGCATGCAGCCTTCAGGGATCAGCTCTGTGCTTCCCCCATCTCTTACCTAACCCTCAGGGAGTGGTTAAATGACCCATGCTATGCTGTCGTATACCAGTTCTGGCTTCTAGCATAAAACTCACCAAGTGACTGTATCCTAACTGGATACGTGTTTGCCCCGGCTCCCTACTCCTCCCGCCAATAGCCTGCCATTACCTTGGCAGTTGTAGGTTTCATACATGTCTCTACCCTAGTGTCTATACAACATCCCACACCAGGATAAGCCATGAATTCTATTTAACTGTTCTGCTCTTGAGTTTTGGGGGGGGTTGTTTTGTTTTTTGTTTGCTTATTTTCAACTCAACTTGACTCAAGCTAGAATTGTCTGGGTAAGGCAACCTCAATAGAAAAACCACTTCCTCCTCTGGGCAAGTCTAGGGGCATTCTCCTGATGAACTCGACCTGAGAGGGTCCAGCTCACTGTGGTGGCTGGTGGTGGGTTCTGTAAGAAAGGAGGAGGAGCAAGCCAGTAGGCAGCACTCCTCCATGGCCTCTGCTTCACTTCCTGCCTCCAGGTTCTGCTCTGCTCCAGTCCCTTCCTTGGCTTCTCTCAATGATAGACCATGCCTGGGAAGTGCAAGCCAAAGAAACCCTCTCTTCCCCAAGTTGCTTTGGGCAGTGGTCTTTGTCACAGCAGTAGAAAGCAGACTAAAATAGCTACCATCATGTCACCCAAATCATCTTGCTTTTGATGCATATACTCTGTATCTATCAAACCAGTACCTCTGTCTGAGCAGGGTCTAGAACTGTGTGTTTTGTCACAGCTCTACTTACGACGTGAGTGAAGATTAAGGATAGTAGAGTCCGGGGCTGGCTCACTGGTTAAGAGCACTTGTTGCTCTTAAAGAGGACCCAGGTTTGATTCCTAGCAACCACAGGGTGACTCACAATCACCTGTAACTGTAAGTACAGTTATCAGAATGTGATGCCCTCTCCTGGCTTCTGCAGACACCAAGCACAAATGTGGTGCACATACAAACCTACAGACAAAACACTCGTATATAAGATAAAATTAATAAATCTGATAAGAAAACGTACAGAACCATATATGCAGTAAGTAGATGCTGATACGTAGATCATGTATGGATGGATACACTAATAACATCATTTTAGTCATGTTGGAGTAAGCCTGAAGAGTTGTAAAATCAAGCCAGATTGTGACAGGGGAAATAATAAACACTTCAGGGCACGATGCAGTTAAGTGGACAGTGTGATCTGGCCTTGTTACTAGAGTTACTTGCTTATGTGTTCATAACTCGGGGGCTGTAAGCTGTTTGGTGGAGATCTGGGAATGACCTCGCTTCCTTTGAACTTCTGCAGATCGGCACCATTCACCAACTTGCTTCCCACCGTCTCACCCGATGTCCATCACCTGAAAGCCGACGGAGATTGCCATGCAGAGCTTATCACTGCATCAGACTTCACTCTCCCCCGACCTCCCCAAGGTCCCACTCCATTCTCACCAGCCACCAACAGTTCTTCATGTCGAATCCAATGAAGTCTAATACATTATGGCCCCTCGATGTTTGCTGACATACAACAAGACGAAATAAATCAAAGAGCTCTGACTTGGAGGTAGAAGTCTGCCGTCCATGTCTGGTCATCGCATTAACGACTGCTAAAGCATGGGTTTTCTCAAGCCTCTGGTTCTTTGCCTTGTATGATCAAAGCAGTAGACTAGGTTGTTCCCACCTCTGGTACATGGTCTGGAGATTGAAACATGGTTTAGAGCTAGAAAAGAGGCCTGCATGGTGCTTAAGGGAATCATCGCTCAAGGCCCAGGAGAAATGACTTGCCTCTGCCTTCTTAATTCACTGTGACTGTGACCAGAGAGAAACACAGTCTCTTGTTCTGAGGAAAGACAAGCAGGTATTCAGCCCTGAGCATCCCCGGGGCTTTCCTGGGTTGCTTGCCTTCACATTCAGATGCCACTCATGATCACATGGAGCTATCATCCCAGAAGCAGGAAAGTAAGGCCCTACACATCGGAGGAACAGTGCAGAGTAGGCCACATTGAGGGGCAGTAGAGACACAATGGAGGCATGGTAGAGGCCCATTGCATGTTCTGGGAGACGCACTCAGTAACGGTGTTGGAATTACAGGTAAATCGGTTATCTCAACGGACTTTCACAACCTTGTAAAAGAAAAGGGCAAGCATGGCTGTTTAGAAACTAAGTCTGAGAGAAATTCTGAACCTCAGAAGGCAGTCTGTATGAGCATCCAGTACTTAACATGTGAGGGCTGCAAGCCAGCCTCTCTGGCTCCAAATGCAATGTGCTTTGGCTACATTGTGTTTCTTCTTCTCCTTATGTCCTCTGTTGGACCTGACCATTTCCTACCGGGAAAGAAGGGGAGGTGTATGTGTTTCCATATTATAGGGCAAGAAGCCAAAGCTCAGAGACTTTTCAGTGTTGTGGTAACCAGCAGGGACATCCTGAGTCCTTTTTACTATGTTACTACACTTGAAGAAATATGTCTTCTATAATTATGTTTGTGAGCAGCATAGGATAGGTTATGATCTTTAACATTCTAGCAAGAAGACTGAGGTCTAAAAATGTAACATTGGATGAATATATTTAAGAGGAATGTGTGAATTTCAATATGCTTGAGAATGACTGTTCCAGCCACTGGATTTGCCCTCCATGGAAATGATCTGCTGGCCCAGGGACTGTAAGTAAAGGGGACTGGCTCAGATAGGCACCCATATCCATTAAGCTCCTTCCTAGATACCCACAGTATATGCCTTGTCCCATAGCCAGGAAGTCAGGGTCTGAACCCAAGTACTCCATCTCCTGCTTCATGTGGTGTACTTTCATCTCTATCGTTCACATTTGGCTGCCTAATTCTCTACAAATTTCAGAGTCCAGTCATCCTAGGTGTGAGTATAGCTGTCATTGAGCATTAGACAAGGCAAGAAGCTCTCTTGTGGCTATAATAAGTAAATCTCTGATGAACTGGCCAATCAACAAATAACAACTGGTTGACATAGACTAATAAACTTCTTAGGCAGCATGAAATGACAGAAGCTCCTAACTTAGAAGATAGACCAGGATTCTCATCTATCCAATTCTTTCAGGAATCAAAGTGAACAGATATATATATATATATATATATATATATATATATATTTCCCACAGCATTGCCTGTCCTTCCATGTGACAATTTTTCAAATGCAGCAATACCAAGACTCTGAACTAGTTACCTTTGTTACTTGCCATATCAAAGATAGAAACTTCCAGAAGTAGTAGGCTCAGTGAAGTCTGACTAACACTAGCATCCTTTTGAAGTTGAAAAACAGGAAGTAGCTGTCTTAGTTAGGGTTTCTATTGCTGTGAAGAGACACCATGACCATGTCAACTCTATATAAAGAAAAAATTTAATTATGTTGGCTGACTTATAGTTTTGGAGGTTCAGTCCATTATTATCATGGTGAGAGTATGGCAGGGAGTATGGAAGTGTGCAGACAGACATGATGTTGGCTACATCTTGGTCAGAAGGCAACAGGAAGTTGACTGAGATACTGGACAGTATCCTGAGCATCGGAAACCTTAAAGCCAACCTACACAGAGACGCACTTCCTCCAACAAGACTGTACCCACTCCAACAAAGCCACATCTTCTGATAGCGCCACTCCCTATGAGATTATGGAGGCCAATTCCATTCAAACCACCACAGTAGCCTAGATACATTGAAATCATACCCCCAGCCCCAGCATTGTGATGTGTGGTGGATTGAATAAGAATGATCCCATATGCTTATATATTTGAATGCTTGGTCGTCAGGAAGTGGGACTCTTTGGAAGGATTAGAAGGATTAGGAATGATGGCTTTGTTGGAGGACATATGTCACTCAGGATGGGCTTAGGGATTTCAAAAGGCCATGCCATGCCAATTCTCTCTCTCTCTCTCTCTCTCTCTCTCTCTCTCTCTCTCTCTCTCTCTCTCTATCTATCTATCTATCTTTGTCAGCAGATCAGGATGTAGCTTTCAGTTACTTCTCCAGAGTCATACGTGCCACCAGGACATAAGGGATTAAACTTCTGAAGCTATAAGCAAGCTCCCGGTTAATTGCTTTCTTTTAAGAGAGGTGCCTTGGTCATGGTATCTCTTGCCAGCAATAGAACAATGATTAAGACAGTCTACCCCTGAGCTCGATCCCTCGGCCTCAGATGAGTATCAGTTTATGTTGGTAGGGAAAGCATTTCTCCCTGCCACAGTCCCATCTGTAACAGCTCTACCTTCCATTTCCCTACTGACGCACCTGTCATTTCCTGACTGACAATCAATTTCCCTACCTGTCATTATCAATTCTGCTCATTAACTCTCCCACCTGTCTCAGCCGAGGCCTCCTGATGCTGAAAAGCATCTCTGAAAACTTATTTTCTTAGGCAGAATAATTGAACCTTCTTGCACATCTAGGGAGCTGTTCGTCTGAAGCACTCAGAGTCATTTCTAAATGTCAGTGAAAGCGTACATTTTATAGCAGGGAGGAGAGGCTGCTGTTCTAGTACAACTAAAGGGAACCTGAAGAACAATGCCCCATCACGGTGCAGCATACAGGCAGGACATGCTGAAGAAAACACTTGGCAGCTTGACAGGTGCTACATTTTTGTTTCCTTTTTAAATCTGGGGCTCAGAGAATGCAGCGTCAATTTGGACCCTTTTTGTTTTTGATTGAATCAATTCCGGTCCTTCCAGAAATGACATCGGAAGTGGTTAATGCCGGATAGATGCTATAGAAATGAAAGTATAGAAAGACAACTTGTGCCTTTTGTGAAGTGCTAAGGGACTAGGGTGAAGGTTATAATGACAATATCCTATAGGTAGACAGCCTTTCCCCTGACCAGGGTCTTCACACATTGCTCCTGATGCTTGCTGCTCTGTGGCCTGCATTGGGACCACCCTTCTGTTGGATAGCTTGTCTCACCTCCCCCAAATCATCATTCCTAGGGACCATAAGGAACAGTATTAATGGCACTCATCCCACTTCAACATGATGCAAGTTCCTCCCTTTAGAAATTGAAATGAACTCCCTTCTATTACTATGCACTGTACTTATAAGATGGTGATATGCCTGAGAACCTGAATCTTCTCCATTTTCTTTGCTGTGTTCCTGAGACCTACCGCAACATCTGGAATGTAGCAGTTGCTCAGTTAACATCTATTGAGTGATTAAAGGACTAAATATTTGTAGCCTTGCTCAAATTTGCTACAGCCCTCTTCCTGTTTTGTAGATGAAGCGATTGAGGCTTAAGGAGATTGAAAGGCCTGGCCCAGAAGCAATCTAGAGTGCCCCCTGCTGCCTTACTCTGCCCTCCAGGGACCTGGCTCAGAAATGACAAGAAGTGCTCATTCCCCTTAGGAAAATGAGCTCCCTAAGTGTCAGTGCCCACACCCCTGCATTAGGCCTCTCTTGGCACCATGCCTCACCTTCCCTCTAGGGAGGCATGTTCCCAGGCACCCACTATATTTGTTGACAGCCCACCGGTCTAATCAGTCCATTAAGACAGAGCAAACAAAGAAAGGGAAGGAAGAAATAATTGCCAAGTCAACAAACCTGAATAGTTAGAGGGACTAAGGTCAACACTGTAATTACACTGCTCCAGGAAGAAAAGCCTGAGAGCTAAGACTTTCCACTTCATTCTCTCTTTCAAAGGGAATTCCCCTTCTCCATGCTGACTGCAGTGCACTTCATAGGCCTGGAAGCTTCCCAGTTCTCAACTTGGTCCTCCCTCTACTACTGACAGAGGTGGGCCAAGTCTCCTTGTCTCCTTGGTAAGCCACATCCACATGTTTGGCACTTGCAACCGCTCTCCCCAACCACAACAAGCCCCTCAGCTGTTTTCAGAGCTAAACCTGATGGTTTTCATTTCACAAACACAATCCTAAGGGCTGAGATGATTGGTAACCAGACAATTGTGTCTTTTTTAGATGAAAAGGACGTCAGTAGGGGAATGTGATCCAAAGCCTGACAATGGTGGATGGAGAGCAAACAACAATGTGTTCTGTGTGGTATTTTCAAGTGCATTAGGGAAGGGCTGAAGCTTCCTTATGTCCCCGGGAGGAACTGAAAAGCTTTTGACTCCCTGACACTCAGAAGACAGAACTAAGAGGCTTTTCCAATGACTTGCCTAAGCTCACACCCATGCACTATAAAAAAAAGTGGAAAAATCAACACTGAAATCTAACTCTACATGAAATGATTATACTACCAACATGGAGGGAGGAAGGAAAGAGAAGAAGGAGGGAGGGAGGGAGGGAGGGAGAGAGAGAGATAACATGGGACATTTATCACAGGACAGCACCCACAGAATGTTCAATAAACATTAGCAAGCAATTCTTAGTGTGTTGTCATGGAGCCAAATCTTTGACAAGGGTGGGGCTGCTGACTCATTCATCTCCAATACACTCTTCTGTAGAAGCCGAGTCAGTTGTTCTTTGGGCGCAAAGAAGAGGAAAGGGATGGTTCTAGATCTCCAGGTTCTAGTGACAAAGAAGGAAAAATGGGGCAGGCATTGCCAGTCCCCAGATTGTTGCTATGAGTTACAAGTGCACTGGCTCTGTCTACA